GCAACCAAGATTTTGGGGGTGCAAAACATGCATCCCAACTTTACCTCTGCCATACCAACCAGTGTCGAGAACAGGCATAGAAGTGTGAACACTGACCACAGATGAGCTTTCTAGGAACATTCTGCACACTGGGTTTTTAAATCTATGGCTCCTGTCTCATGGCTTCTATAATCCTTGTAATTCCTTATGTATCTAGAATAATAAAAATAAATTTTGTTAAAATATTTTACTTAGATCCCTGAAACAGCTCCGAGTGAATACGGTAAGGCGATATTTTTCAGCCACACCTGAGCTTTTATGAATGTGATTTTTAGAAGCACCACTGATAAATACTTAATAAGAGCGAGGAAGCAAGGGGCGGGGATTGACGGTTGCCTGGAGGGGAAAGGGCTGAAGTAGGAGTTCATTACCAGCGGCCAATGGTTCAACCAGCCCTACTTCATAAAATATCTACAAAGGACAAGTGTCTGAGGTGGAGGGTTTCCAGGAAGATGAGAAGAACATATCCCTGGGCTTCCAAGGGTGACATGCTCCCGACCCCATGGGGGTGTGCCTTTTACACCTTGCCCTGTACCCCTCTTATAGAGATGTTTGCTTACATCTTTAAAATGCTCTTTGCAATAAGCAAATAAGCATGAAAAATATATAAAGAAATAAAGTTGCCATTCCCAAGCAGGGGTTCTTGCCCCTGGTGAGTGGTGAGTTCAGCATCTGTGTTCATAATGTAACAAGATTCATACCTTAGCTGTGAGGTTGTAAGGACTGTGTGAACACAAACACGTTTGTTACCGTGAATTTTTTCACCATTTTTAGAAGACAACTGTCTAGTCAGAAGCAGCCACACCCTTCCTGTGGAGTCTGGGAAAGGCTTCCTGATGACAAAGGGAAAAGGTTAGGCCACTGTAATGGGACAGAATGACTGACCCCCATTCCTGGAATGCAATGACTTCTAAAAGTAAATATAGGGCCATATTATAGGACAAATGGACTCAAAAGCAGTTGAGGAATTCCAAACAAAGAGAACAAATAAGAACTGAGTGTTTATACTATGTACAGAATTTCATATGCTCCCTATCCAAAAGATGACCTCAGGGACGCATTCTGTGCTCCTGCAACGTGTAGCCACGTTTGCAGATTTGCATATTAATACGGTAGCTGCGATTCCAATTTTTTAAACTTCTGTTTATTTTATATGTGTGAGGGTGTTTGGTCTGCAGTTATGCCATGTGTACCACACGCATGCCTGCCTGGTGCCCATGAGGTCAGAAGAGCATCAGACCTCCTATAACTGTGGCCAAGCATAGTTGCGGATCATCGTGTGGGTTCTAGAAAATGAAGCCAGGTGCTTGCAAAGGCAACAGTGCTCTTAGCGGCTTAGCTCCCTCCATGGTTCCTGCATTTATTATTTCAGAAGGAAAAATATAGTCCCTAAAAGTCCAAGTTTAAGTCAGACCTGTTGTCTCTCATTGTATATTCATTTTTATGGGCTATACTGAACCCATAACCTATTGGAAGCTCTGTTGTCAGCCTTGAGATGATTATGATAAAATAATGATAACTTAAAAGGCCAAAGTTATATAACTTTGGAGAAGAAATGTTTATAACTACAGGCCCTTTCCATCACGTTCTGATATGATTGTTCATCTATGTTAATGATATTTTAAAAATTATTTAATCTCAATTATTCTAAGCATACATGTTCAACTTTGATAGATCAAAATTTAAAAATGGATTTAAAAACATGAATTCTTATTTTCCGAACTCCCGGTCCTAGAAACACTCTTGACAGGTGCCTGAGCGCACTCTTGGCTGGGTTCGTGGGAGCACTCTTGGCAGGTGCCTGGGAGCACTTTTGACCAGGTTCATGGGAGCACTCTTGGAAGGTGCCTGAAAGCACTCCTGGGAGGTTCCTGGGAGCACTCTTGGCCAGGTTCCTGTTAATTTGGAAGCATTTAAGCAGTAATATTGGGAAAGTGTTTCCTACAGCCTCCATTTGTTCCTTTTCAAATGTTTTCAGGTATATTCATATAAGTCATAAGGAAGGATTATTCGCTACTTTATATATTATGTTATATGTTAGAAAGTTTGGTCTAAAAGGATGCAGCATGCTAGAGTACATATGTGCACAAGTCTTTGTTTGTGTGTGTGAGCTTGGGAAAGACAGGATTGCTTAAAGATTTTCAGAGGACAGTGGATATTTAGTATATTTAAGTGGGAAGACTATAAATCCGAAAATCAATTGGAAAAATTTAAAATCCCAGAGAAGATGACAACAAAAAACCTAAACATCGGGAATTAGTAAGTGGGGCCTATGCAATGAATGAATTTAAAAGAGATCCTAAAGTAAAATAATGAGATAAACTGATGTGGATGCTGCACCTGTTGCCGGACTTTTCAAATGAAAAGTTGCTTTCACGTTTGTGATGGCATCATAGCTCTCTCTGTGACGCCTTTAGAACATCGTTCTTCGTCTTCGACCGAGGTAGCCTTTTCTGAATACAGAAAGGTACGAAAAGGGTAGCAAGAAATGAGCTAAAAAGAAACTTCACTCAAGTCTCAAGGCAGTTGGTGCTTGTATTGAAACACGCAGTTGATGGAGGAGAGAATCAGGATACCAGTGATGAGAGAAAGGTGTGCCAGACTGTGGAGACTGCTGCGTGAAGGTAAAGAGAATGAAAATGGTTTTTTAGGGAGTCAAGCACCCTGGGTGAAGAACAGGACGTGCTGCCGTCTCCCAAAGCACACAGGTGTTTGATGCCTGGTGAGCTTGCTGACTTGCAAGATCGATCGCAGACCTATGTGTGTCTACTTCTAAAGCCCAGAAGTCTCTGAAAGGCAATGAACTCAGTTTTTCATTACTATTGGCAAGCATATTTTCCAAAAGAAGTGAAGTGGTTTTCACTTTCTTCAAGTGTTCTACTTCCCCTCAAAGTGTATAGTAGACATAAGAAGCCGAGCCGTAAGTGTATCCGCTCTGTAACGAATGTGCAGGAGTGGGTGTCTTATGCCGCAGTGATTTGAAATGTAGTGTAATGATCCACCTGAGACAATTATTGACAACCATGCTGATTGAGCCAATTAAGACCTTTGAGTCTTTTATTAATGGCCAGACCAAGAGCGGGCTCACAACTCTGGAAGTCTCTTGGTGTCCTAGCTCAGGGATATAGTATAAAGGCAAAACACATAAAGATTCATCAAAGTTAGTTGAGGGTCAGAGTCTTAAAACGCTCATTCCTGCCAGAGCATAGTGGCCCTTTGAAACAAAGCCTGCCAGCTATTTTGCCTAATACATCTGGAACCATAATCAAGGCATGAAAATCTCAACTGTGTTGCCAAGGCAGACCTGACAGTTGTAGGGAGGGGGTGTGGGGAGCTAAGATCCATCTTAAACATAAGATGGGATCAGAACAGGATTTGGCATTTCAATGAGGTCATATCTCTTGTTAAACAGCTCAAAACCTCAAAGCTATAAAAGGGGTTGCAAAGCTTCATTATTATCACCATACTAAGTACTTTCGCTTTTTGGATTGAGTTTCTTCTCGGACCTGTTTTGACACATACATTTCTTCAGGTTATATGACAGTCGTCCAGGATCTTACAGATGATGCGGGAAACACCGCAGCCTACTTCTTTGGAAGGTGTGGGACGCTGAGTTATGGGAGTGTACGTTGGTGATGTGATTGTTTTGTTGGCAGTTCACAGTATTTTCCTAAGATTTGGGGAGCCCACAGGCCTATGCAAGTGGATGGAGAAAGGATGGTCCTGATGATAATGGGCGGGCTCTTTGAGGGTCTTTTCCCTTGCTGATGTCAAAAGGATGCCGACAGTGACAAATGGGTGTTTTGAGGTGAGAAGGGCTAAAGCCCTCTAATAAAAGGCTTCAGGAAAGAGTGTGGGCGACCCAGGGAAATGTGCTCCGGTCAAGTTTAAGCCTGGGAAACGAGGCTCTGGAGAAAGCAGATGAGAAGATAGGAAGGAAGGTAGGGAGGGGGGCGCTGGGTGTGGAGTGGAGAGGGGGGCTGAAAAGTGAGAGCACTCAAGCACTTTTTAAAGCTATGACAACAGGGTTGAAGACCACTGGGAGGGAAAAAGTGAAAGTCCAGGAGGGGGGGGGTAGAAGGCAGAGCCCCGCGGCCCCGGAAGGGACCCTTGGCTAGGGAGGCGGCAGCAGAGGCAGGGGGGCAGCTTGGCTGGCCTCAGGCCCCCTTGGCAGCCTCAGGCGTTGGCTCCTCGGGACTCCCTCCCTCTCCGGAGCATTGTTCCTTTGCCGGGAGACAAGGAAATTGCCTTTTGATTGCGGAAGTCCCGGACGGGGCTTGGGGGCGAGGCAGCGCGGGTCAGAATGGCAGCGTGGGAAGGGCCGCGCGCTGCGGGTCCCCGCCGCCTGTCGCGTCCGCAGCCCGCCCAGGGCGGCAGCAGAAGCAGCTGCTGCCGCGGCCCTAGCGCGTCCCCAGCTTCGAGGGAAGCGCGCTGCGCCCGCGGGGCGCGCTGAGCGCGCAACAAGTGGTACTCAAGGTGCCCTGGCTGTCGGCCCAGCGAGATGCTGAACCATGGAGCCACACTGGCCATGTGGATCGCGCTGAGCCTCCTGCAGGTGAGCTGGCAGAGCAAGGGATGGGGACAATGCTCCACTCCCCGCTAAGAACCAAGTCCATCCTCGTCCTAGCTTCCGGGGATGCGCGAGGGGGAACGGAACAAAATCCTATACTCCTATGTAGGAGAGTCATCCTTTCCCGAAATCCTGCCATCCACCAAACTGACAGCTCACCCTCCTGTCAAGACAGCAACCTTCGATCTCCAGCTGCTCCTAGCAGAGGTGGAGCAACTGGGGCGAAAGTTGCCCGCCATCCACTTCCCCTGTGAGCCCTTTCCTGGGTTGGAGGCTGAGCGGACAACAGCAGCTGGGCTCCAGGGGTGAGGACAGGCGGCTCAGGGAGGTGGCTATGCCTCTAAGCACTGCAGACTGGGGACTTAATCCGTGCTCTCTGGTTCTTTTGCAGGCTGGATTGGCAGAGCTAGAGAGATGTAACTTCACACTGTTGGAGTCCAAGATCTCCAGCTTCTCAGCGTCTATCCAGTGGAGGACTTTGGGGTCACCCTGCAACTTTAGCCTCATCTACAGCAGTGATACCTCAGGGCCCGCGCTGTGCCATCCCGTTCGGATAGACAACATTACCTATGGATGTAACCCCAAGGATTTACAAGCAGGGACCCTCTATAACTTTAGGATTGTTTCTCTGGATGGAGAAGAGAGAACTTTGGTCTTACAGACAGGTAAAGAGTGACAGGTGTCATGGGATGGCCAAGCCACTCTGAGCTGAGCCTTGCCTTTTCAGATTGGGGCTTTCATTTGATCTTTGGGCATTTAAAAAGTGTGTGTGTGTGTGTGTGTGTGTGTGTGTGTGTGTGTGTGTGTTGGACCAGGATTTCTAGTTGTCTAAGTCCTGGTCAGAGCAGCTTGCTTGACTCTTGAAGGCTCCTTTAGTGCTGAAAACAGCGGTTGACTAAGCAGCCCCTGGAAGGAAGGGGGTAGAGGGAGATTTTTTTTTTTAAACTGATGGGATTTGAGCTTCCAACATCGTCACACCTCAGAAATCATTTTAAGTAAATGTTTCAATAATAATGGAGTTGTGATGGTTAAGGATATGCTTGGTTGTGTTTATAGAACATGAACTAGAATATAAAACCTTCAGGAATAAAATAGTCCTTTTCATAGGGACCGTTGGAAAAGTCCTTTGAAATGAGAATGCAAAGATGATTTGGGGTTTCTTGAGGTACATAACAGTGGAGAACATTCTTTGGCCACTCTGAACTTCGAATCAGTGGTTTCCCAGGATCTCCTTCCATGTGTGATGCTATGTCTGTCTCTCTTTCCTCCCTTGTCTGTGAGATGGAAGGCACTTCAGGCGCAAGCTCTTTCCACCTGCAGGGGCTGCCGCAGGCATTTACCTCACGGGAGCCTCAGTGCATGAGGGCGCTGCAGATTCCCCAGTTCCTTAGTCTTTGTCATCTCTGTCCCTTACAACAGTGAAGGCTTCCTTCAACCAGAAGTAAATCAACGAGAAAAATTCTGAAAGTTAGATAGAGAAATGAGCTATCTTTATGATTCTTTTTTATTTCTACCTGAACAAAGATGATTTCTTTGGCCATAGCTCTTTGAAAGCCACCAGTCTGGCTGAAAGTGCAAGCAGGGTTGGGAAATCTCACTGAATCCCTGAAATATTAATAAACTATTAATCCTTTCATAGATCTTTTAGTCCATGATGCCCACTTACATCATTTGACTTGCTATAGTTGAAACATAGAGGTGATTCTTGAGGGCTGAAGGAACCTCAATTTGAAAAGACAAATCGCTTGTTAAGAATATGCTTTATTTATATGGAACCACAGAGGGGGGGGGGAGAGAGAGAGAGAGAGAGAGAGAGAGAGAGAACTATAGGAGTGGAAATAGCTGGGTATTCAGCCATTATGTTGTCAATGTCTTGGAAGCTGAAGCTGGTTCTGTGACAGCTCACACCACTACAGCTGTAGAATGCTGGACATTGTATGTCCAGATGTGCCAGGTACACCGGAAAGGGCCTCACCAACTGTGTGTGTGTGTGTTCAGTGCAGCCGAGCGGGTTTTAAGGTAGCTGCATTTTCAGAATGTTCATAAACGTTCGGGAAAACATTAGCCTTTAGGAGTCTGGAGACAGTTATTTATCCTAAGGATTTACTTTATGGAAACCAAAATGATGGTGAGAAAACGGTCCATTGTGGGTGTTAGTAACATAAATCAAGCTTTGATTGGGACACGGGGAGATGCTCCAAGTCCAGAAGCATTTGGTAAACATGAAAAACAGTCACCCTGCATGGATGCTATTGGATAAACGGCTTCTATGTGCTTGCTGTTTCACTATGCTAGAGACAGAAGCCAGCCAGGGCGTACTCCATGCGAGGCAAGCCCTGGACCACTGAGCTACACCCAGGCTCGTTCATTTTCCTAAGGATGTAGTTTTCACCATACATTTCCTGAGCCCCAGGGTAAATATGGATGATGGAAATTGCAGATGGTCTCTGCGTAATGGCAATTGTCCCACCCAGGCATGTATGACGGTATAGTCCTTCTCAGAACTCACCGTGCCTTTAAAATAAAGATTTCACTTAAAGACAAAAATTTGAATTACCATTTTTAAATATTGTTTTAGGGAGGGTTTTTAAAAGTTGCTTATTTATACGTAGTGCTTTCTAAACTTTAAAAAGGTATGGAAGTTTAGATTTTGTTAAAATAACTATTATTCCTCAGTATTGATTACTAAGCCTTAGTGATGGGGTCCATAAATCATAGTTTACTGTTACTAAAGCAATGCCAACTAATATAATGTCAACTCAGACAAAGCTTTAAACAAGTGAAAGACTCCATTCAAACTGTGAGGGTTTTTTTTTTTTTTTGGCTGCCTTTTACCCATCTTATTGGTCTCGGATGAATTTGAACAAAAGCAAGACTCTCTCATGAATGGAGATCAAACTGTTGCTTGTATGATTGGGTGTGATTTTTTTGGTGATGAGTTTTACTGATCGTGGAACATAGTTGAATTATTTTGTTTTATGTAGACCTGGACTTTGAAAATATTAAACAAGTAGTATTTCATCAATAGAAAGCCCTTCAGTCCAGATTTCAAATTACATTTGGAAAACGTGGATTCAAATTTAGTTTAACAAGAATTTGCTGTGTGGGATGGCAAAGGGAAAATGCCAGAGAGATGGATGAGTTTATAAAATCACAGTACAAAAAAAAATGGTCCTTGCTCTTGTGGCCTAGAGCAGGTGTGAGAAGTTATATTGATAATGGCCACACAGCCTTACCCATCTTTCCTGAATGAGGCCTTTGTCCTGCCTCGTGAGTACCAGGCTGCTGTACTCACAGAGAGGACACAGGGCTATTCTCAAGTTTATCTGGTGATTAACTGGAATGCAGCAAGAATGCCGTGAAGTGTCAGCTTGTGCAGTTGTGACTTTGCCAGGAAATAATACAATGGTCATACCAAATATTGAATAAGTAGGCATATCTCTGAGACTGTAACCTCGGAGTCACAAACAGGGCTTGCAAAGCCTCGGGGATGCCTAGGTGTTTAAATGATAACTAGACCCTGCTTGGCATCTGTAGTATTTGTGGAAATGCTAGCTCATTTCAGCAGTGTTAAGAGCTCAAAAGTCACTGGGCACATCTCTAATCCCAGTACTTAGGAAGCAGAGGCCTCTGGATCTCTGTGAGTTTGAGGCCAGCATGGTCTACATATTGAGTTCCAAGCTACCCAGAGTAAACAACAACAACAACAAACTATATTTTCAGGTTTACAGAAAAGTTATGATTTAGCACACAGATACCTCTGATTTCTCCGTTCTTACGGTGTTTGTTGTGGTGAATGAGCCAGTATTAGATGATTAACCCATAATAAATTTAGATGTCCTTACTCTATCCCAGGATCTTATTTGGTGTCCCACATGGCATTCACTGTTGCTGATAATCCAGATGGTATTTAATACCACACACAGAAAGAGAGAGGAGAGGGGAGGGGAGGGGGAGGCTGAGACTCCTAGGTTTTGCTCTATAGCCCAAGGCTGATGCTTTTCTTAGGTTTAACCTTAAGCTCCAGATCTTAAGTTTTCGGCAGGAACAGCATGTACAGAGGTCAAGTTCTCATCGGGTCACACTGAGGCTCTTCCTGTGAACATGATCTGTCACTTTTGGTGCTGAAAAGTTGTCTGAGGTAGAGTTCAGTTTCTGACCCATTGTCTCATCTCCTGGGGCCGAGTGAACTGGAGGTGGGAATTTTACTTGGGGAATGACCATCCACAGGCATCTGACGTCCTGCTGATCTCAGATACTTATTAATTTCCCTAGGGAAAAAATGCTCAAACATCCCCAGCCTCAAATAATTTCAATCATATTGACATGATGAATTTTTTTCTGCCTGCCTCTCTCTTCTCTCTCTCTCTCTCTCTCTCTCTCTCTCTCTCTCTCTCTCTCTCTCTCTCTTTCTCTCTCTCTCTCTTATTTATTTATATGTTCATTGGTGTTTTGCCTGCATGTATGTATGTGTGGGGATGTTGGATCCCCTGGAACTGAACTTAAAGACAGTTGTGAGCCACATGTGAGTGCTGGGAATTGAAACTGGTCCTCTGGAAGAGCAGTCAGTGCTCTTAACTGCTGAGACATCTCTCCAGCCACAAATTTCTTAATCTATATGAAAGCCATTTAAGAACTTTCATTATCAAATTACTGCATCAGCTATTATTTTCATTACTGAACGGTATGTATTGTACTGGATTGGCTGCCCTACCAAAACTTGGGTCGTCTAAAAACAAAATTGATTTTCCCTTAATCCTTGAGGTTGAAATTTCAAAGTCAAACACCTGCAGCTTTTCTGTCTTCATAGGTTTCTCTCCTTGTCTTGTACATGGCCACTGTCTCAAAGTGACAGATCTGTCCATCCAAACAAGGCTTTTCTTGAAAGGACACTAGTCATATTAGATCTAATGGCCCCAGTACAAATTTCTCTCCTCCAAAGACTCCCACTCTCTCAAATACAGCCTCGTTCTGGACTTACCGAAACCTGCAGCTTCAATACACATTAGCTATAATTGGAAATATAAGCCATTATTTCTGAAAAAAAAACTCTCTGTAACTTTCTCTCATCCACAAATTTTACAGAGAATGATAGGGAAACAGTTCTGGTTTCTATGCTATGTGAAATGAACCTGAACTTGGAAAAAAATAGAGCTGGGGATCAAAGTGCTTTAAAGCACACTGCAGCTTGGGGGCCACCGGCACTTCTTTTCCATCATTCATTAACAGTAATATTTGGACACCATGCCTTCTTATGTGTGGTTGAATCTATAATCCTGGGACTATTTATTGTGACTTCCAGGGAGAAAGACTGTTGTGTATTTTTACGCTACAATACCTTCCATATTTAGTACATGAAAACATAAAATATCTATATATATAGTCGGCAATATATATTCAACATAATAGATATTTATATTTTTATATATTTATATCAACATAATATGCATTTATTCTATATTTATTATATTTGCATATATACATATATATAACTTTTGGATTTGGCCTTTGTTTGTTTTGTGTTTTGGAACAGGGTCTCCCTGTGTTCTCCCCACTGCTCCACTCAAACTCATGACAATTCTTCTTTCTCAGCCTCTCAGGTTTCTACTGTTTGACTCTCTCTCATGGAGCCTCTGTAGAGTGGGCATTTGAACGTTCCCATGAT